ATCTTAATCGAGAGTTTTCTTAAGTGATTTCGATCATTTAAGATGTAATTAACTATAGGGGCTTGCCTCTATAGGGAACCAGAAACCCAGATAAAATAAACCCTATCTAATTTTTATGTTAGATAGGGGAACTTGTTGGCCTTTTTATAAAAATATTTCGCAGACCAAACGGATGTCACAAATTATTTAGTTTAGATGATTGAATCCCTATTACAAGTGATATATCTATTCTTCGGGATAAATATATTGCTTGTAGTATTGTATTAAGTCGTCTAAACTATTTAAAATGTGAGACTCGTTTGGTCTCACTTATTTAAAAATTAAAATGTTACTTCTTTAAAAAAAGTTATGTTTATATTTAAATTATTTTTAAAAATCACAAAATCATCATCTTTTCAAACTACGAAAATTAAGCTGAACGATAAAACGGCCGACAATGGTGCCATTTCAGAAGGAGGGCTAAAGGAGAGGAATACGGGGACACGCCCCAGGATAAGCTTCAAGCTCCTCACAGAGACGGAGGTGCAAGGTTTGCGTGCTCCAAGTCCTTTTAGTTTGTGAGGAGAAGGCAACAGATAGTGAGGAGTCTGAGTAAGAAATGATCAGAGAAAATTTTCAGACAATTTTCATAAAGATTAGGGCAAATGAATATTTTATTGCAAGAACATCAAACAACTCAGCAAGAATACATAAGATTAGCATCTTCAATTTAAGAGTTAGGTGATCTCTCCCAAATCCTACAATTCGAGAGGTAGTAAATCTCACCTAAACGCTAACCCTAAGATTCAAAGACACAATCTCACACATAATCCTAATCCCAAACTTTTAAGCCCAATTTATATCAAATAATAATAAATAATAAAAGACTAAATTGTCCTGAAACTAATAAAAGACAAAGCTTCCCTTAGGCTAGACACCGACGTAACAATACTCCCCTCCCAATAGATGCCTTGTCCTTAAGGTGGGGGGAAATGAAACTATTGTTGGATCAAGTCATGTGGCTCCCGCTTATAAACTAGCTTGTGTTGGCTCTCCCCTTTAGCACTTGTACATTCGTTATGGCTTTTAACCTCTGAAAAGTCTGGGTTGCCACTTTCCCCGCTTAAAGTTTATCCTTCTTCAATTTCTTCGTTCATGACCACACATCAAATTACATCTCTTAACGAACTTGTGGTAGTATTCTATATGTCCCATAAATGTTTTCAACTATTTCCACGTCTTACATAGTAACTGCTCCAATATAATTGTCACCTTCGATGGATTCACCGACACTAAGGTCTTGCTCAAACTAGGGTCACCGCGAAGCATTACCGTCTTATCTCTCTCTTGAAACTCCATGGTCAAAAGTTTCCAATCCATCTTAATCTATCTTACGGATTGCAACTATTCCATACCCCTAAATCTAAGGGAAGAATTTATTCCATCACCTGAATGTCTGATAATGTTAAAATCACTCTTTTACAAACTCCATTGCTTTTCTCTACCTGTCTCGTCTCCATCATGACTCCAAAAATTCTTATGTCCACCATCTCAAGCCACAATTGCTTCACAATTTGAATAGCAATGAAGTTGTGAATGGCCTCACCATCTACCAATACCACTACCGGCTTCTCCCAGATGTATCCCATCACCTTCATGGTGTGATTTGGAGTAAATCACACCATTGACTTGCGGGACACCTCTGTTACATCCAATTATAAATTTTCCTCTCCATCCATCGTTTCTTCCTCCTACTCTTCACTATCTATATCCTCCCCCTCGCAAACTAAAAGGATCCGGAGCTCGTGATCCTTGCACTGGTGGCCTATGGCATACTTCTCACCACATCGGAGACATAATCCCTTGGCCCCTTTCTCCTGCAACTCTGCATCGATGAGACACTTGAAGTTAACCCCTAAACAGGCCCCCATATTCCTCTTTTTTGGCGCCTCCTTCTGAAATAACACATTTTGGATCCTCAGTGTTTTAGTCATTGAGGTACTCTTGTGGAATCGTCTCGTGGTGCCACTTTTGTTGGTCTTCTTCATTTGGTTCATGCTTCCACCATCTAGACAACCTCTATTGTCTCCCTCAATCCCTAAGCTTTAGGTCTTTCATGAAGTTCCCCTTCAATCTTGTTTCAAACCCCCTAAGTTTCTCGACAATAGTTCTAATCTCTCCCTATATTTCATGACAGTCCCCTCCTTAGTCAAGGCATAGAATCATTTGAATAGGTCTCCTTTCCAAATGGCTCGAAAACGTTGTAACAAACGATCCTTAAATTCCTTTCACGAGCGGATTGAATGTTTAAGAGCCTTTCTGCACTGAAACCATGCAAGGGTTTTTTCTCCAAGCATAACCCTGTTGCCATGAGCTTCTTTTGCCCATTTATCTCATTTGTTGTGAAGTATCGCTCCACCCGATACATCTACCCTTGTATGTCTTTCCCCTTAAAGTTCGGAATTTTTAACTTCCTAACCCTAGTGTCACCACTCCAACGTTCACTCCCTTTGGTATTTCCCCCCATTTATCTATAATGAAATTCCCTCCTTCGATCATAACCATACTCTCTTCTGGTTTCTTTGAAGGATATGATGAGCGTGGTTTAGGATGGAGGGCTGAGATTCTTGATTAAGTTTCATATCATGAAAGAGACACATTATACGGAGTTGGTAGAGATTCTGGGGATTCACAAGCTATTGGATAAGTTATTTGGGACAACAATATTCTTCAAGATTGACCTTGATGTCAAGGTACCATCAGATTCGGATGGTCTGAAATATTTGTAGAAGACGGTGAGAGTCACTACGAGTTTCAGATTAAATGGAAAGGATTGTCAGATTATGACGTCACGTGAGAGTCGTACGATTTGATCCAACATTAGTTTTTTCCACCTTGAGGACAATGAGTCTTTTTAGGAGGGAGGTATTGTTATGCCGGTGCCTAAATTAAGGGAAATTTTGTCTTTTAGTAGCATTAAAGCAATTTAATATTTTATTATTAATTATTGCTTGGTATAAATAGGGCTTCGTAATTTAGGGTTAGGGTTATGCATGAAATTGTTTCTTTGAGTTTTATGGCTAGGGCTAAGGTTAGGGTTTGGGAGATATTTCCTAGCTCTCGAATTGAAGGATTTGGTAGGGAGTGCCTATCTCTCGAATTGTAGATGTTTATCATATGTACTTGCATTGAGTTGTTTGAAGTTCTTGAATTAAATTTATATGCCTTAATTTTTGTCAAGAATCGTATTAGAATCATCGCATGCATGTATTTTTTTCCCCACTTCACAAGGTACATTTTTGCGGCAAATCATATATTAATGAAAAAATAAACTTAAGGAAAATAGATTTTGGGCCCCAAATTTTCGTTTAAGAAAAATTCAAATACTCTATGGTTACCTTGTTTAAAGTTCTTAAGTTGATACTGTAATTGATGTCTATAGTTAATTTTTTTTTCAAATTCTTCTAACTTATTATCCAAGTAAACTTCATATTTTGGCAGAAGTTTACCACAAGAATTGAGCAGATTCTGTCATTGTTTTTGTTTGGAAAGCAAACCTATTATACCTTCTAAATAATTCTTTGAATTTATCTGTCTACCCTGCAAATGTTTTTGGATTCTAACTTCCATCGATGTAAAATATTATCGTAATTTACCAGATGTTATGTTGAAATTTTTGGTACCATATCCAGATTGATTTTGCGAATTTATATTTCAGACATTTGTTGTTGTAGAACTATTAAGCTTACATTCTTTATTGATATGGTCATTGATCATGTTATAAAGTGTTAATTCTATAAGGTATTTCTATAAACCATCATACTCTAATGCTGAATCTGATTTAGGATGTTCTAAAATTTATGGTTTCTAATAGTTCAGTGGATAAATAAATGAATTAAAGGGCAAATTTTTTTTTGTTGGTATAACATGCATCTCTTTGTGTTATTATTTAATAATTCATACTAGTTATTTTTTAAATTAAGAATATTTTCCATTCTCTTATGGACTTGAGACAATAATGTTTTCTAGAGTTTTATCATCGATAGTTCCTTTTTAGTGCAATTTCTGTCATATTGTTTCCCTTCTTTTATGGCTAATTGCTTCCAAAACTCACCTTTTGTAAACTTCTATAAGTAGATCTGTATTCTGGCGAAATAAAACAGAGTGTTTTTAATTTTTCTTTCTCTCTATTTTTCTTCTACTCCTTTCTTTCTAATAATTATGTACTCTTTTACATTGTAATTGGCAACTTAATATTATTTGCTGGGAACTGATTTTATCTGCTTTTATGAACTCAAGAGAAAATTTGTTGAAAGAGATAAATGGTAATATAATGAAGAATTCTTTATCAAGAAAAAAGGTTCATACTAGGTGATGGCTAGTTGAGAGAATTTAAAACCTTAAAATTACTGGATGGGTATATCCGGCCTGTAATTTATTGCCACCTGTCTTAAATTTTGGCCATTTAATCATTTATTTTCCTCTCGCATTTTTATCCATTTTCTGTAAATAAAGGAAATATAGATTTTCATGTGCTGAAATGCACAAATGCTTCTATTTCTGTTGCATTATCATTACTCGGATTCTCTTATTGGCAGGTAATGCAGCTCCGCAAAGTCTGTAGTCACCCTTACTTGTTTAATGGAATTGAGCCAGAACCATATGTGGAAGGTGAACACCTAGTTCAGGTTTGGGTTCTATTTTTCTCCAACACTTGATATCTTTTTTAAGATTTTTAATTTAATTTATATTTATTTTTGTAATGTATGAATGATGACTTTGTTGATGGCTACTTTTCTCAAACATTCACTGTGCAAATCAGGCAAGTGGTAAACTTATCGTTCTGGATCTACTACTTCAGAAGCTTCATGCAAATGGCCATCGTGTTCTTATTTTTGCTCAAATGACTCATACCCTTGACATTCTACAGGTGAAAAATGGTTGTCTTTTAATTGGCCGGATTGACAATTTTTATTTCTCCTTTTGCTTGCTTTTTTTACTACATAGGATTTTCTGGAACTGAGGAAGTACACCTATGAGCGCCTTGATGGATCTGTACGTGCTGAGGAGCGTTTTGCTGCTATAAGAAGCTTTGGTCTTAATATCATTGGAAATATCATGGAACCTCAGGGTAAACATAATGGAGCTTTTGTGTTCATGATCTCGACGAGAGCAGGAGGTGTTGGACTTAATCTGGTGGCTGCAGATACTGTGAGTATTAGTACTGTCACGCTGTTTAATTTTTCCTTCTTTCCCTTGTTAAATTGAATGGAGGGAAGTCACAACATTAATTATGCTCCCTTATAACCTTTTCCCCGCAAATGCTCTACACTATTGTCCACCATATAATTTTTTTCAAACTTATGATAATATTCTAGTAATATCATGATTTGCGACATCTCATGCAGCTTTCAGTTCAGTTTCGTTAAAGAACAAGGCTGATAATTGATACAAAAATGATGGGAAAGCAATGTGGCCGCTTGGGATCACTTTTATTTTATGTTTTTTATTTCTTATTTTATTTATTTTATTTATGTATTTATTTGAAATAAAACATGTTTAGTATGTTATGATATATTAGTTGTTTTTAAAAAACACTTAAAGATAATTTTTGGATGCTTTTAGTGTTTTAAAAACCAGTTAATTTATTTTTAAAAATAAAAATAAAAACATGCAAAAAAAATTCACTAAACAAATATATTTTTAAAATTAAAAAAAAAAGAAAACAAAAAAACAAAGAATAAAAAAATAGAAGTGATGCCAAATAAGCATTGTACCGACCACATTGTACGACCGCGTTCACTTTACATTAAATTCTCGATGATGCCTTACATATGCTTCATATACATTCTCAAAATATAACTTTTACTGATTAGAAGTATTTTCATTAGGTTATATTTTATGAGCAAGACTGGAATCCCCAGGTTGACAAGCAAGCTTTGCAGCGTGCCCACCGTATTGGTCAAATTAATCATGTACTATCTATAAATCTTGTAACGCAAAACACAATAGAGGAGGTGAGAAGGCAACATATGAATGATACCTTATTACCATCTAATATTCTGTTTGTACTTATGGTGTGGAATAATGCGTCAGGTCATAATGAGGAGAGCTGAGAGGAAGTTGCAGCTCAGCAAAAATGTTATGAGTCGAGAAACTGAACACGATAAGGCAGGGAAGGATGACTGGATTGAAGCTGGCGACATGCGATCTCTTATTCTTGGTTTACAAGTTTTTGATCCCACAGATAATAATACCAACAATTGCAATGTGGAAAACATGGGGAAATTGAGTTCAATGACAGAAAAAGTAGTACAGATGCGTAATTATGAGCAGCTAAACAAGGATGGTCGCATATTTGAAATTAATCCTATAGATATTTTGTGCAAAAAGGCCACATCCTTTAATTTTGAACTTGAACTTGATGAAGATTCTTACCTATCTTGGATTGAGAAATTCAAAGAAGTTGGTGCATCTGCTCAGAATTCTATTGAGGAATTTCAAAAGAGGAAACATTCGTTAGAAGAAAGGCATCTAAAACAAGAAGCTGATAGAAGGAAGGCAGAAGAGAAGAAACTAGCCAAATGGGAAGCCCTTGGTTACCACTCATTTGCTGTTAATGAGCCTGATGTCATAGTTGAGAACGACTTGATTTCAGATTATGGATCTATTCAGTTTGTGTATGGTGATTGTACTAAACCCAACAGAGTTTGTCCATCAAAACCTGCTATTATATTCAGGTTGGCTATATTTCTAAGTTCTGTGATAATATACATCTTGATATGCAAACAAAGAAAATGCTAACAAGCACAAATAACTTTACATATATGTACAAAAATTCTTATTACATTTTTCAGACAGGTATGCGTGCACATGCAGACAACACAATTTTTATTGATTTTTGAACTTCTGGAAATTTATAAGTTTTGTTCATTTCAACTTAGAATCTTCTATGCTACTTTCTGTCAGTTTAGAAGTTATGAAGTTGGGGCAAGAGATTGTCATCTACGTGTTGGAATCATTCAAATGTGAAATTTGTGGACCTGTTCAATGATTTGGTATTTGTGATCTTTGGTTTGATTTCTTTTCACCTTTTTAGTTGTTTGATATCTTTTTCGCAGCATCATACTGTGAATTTTGACAAAGAATTTTATTTAGGTTTTGGTGTAATGGTAGATGGAATATTCAGTAGAGCTGAAACCTGGTGATGAACAGATCAAAGAGTTCCTTTTAAGATTCTTCCTATTGGGTGCAAGTTATGGTGACAATGTAAAATATGAAGAATTTTGTTGAAGGAAAATGAACTAACAATGAGATGGATAGGTCAGAGAACGTAAGGATACACCCTTCATGAAGGCCAGCCATGTGATTCTATTTATTCTTCGCACACTAGGGGTTTTGAATGTTGATAGTAGCATAAATAACAATATTAAGATCGATGTATGACAAAATAAGGAAAAATAATTTAATATCATATTTCCTTACCCTTGTTGCATACGTCAAAACAACAAAAAATATTTCTGAGTCATCTTCAATAGTTGCCACTCCAATCTTCTAATATAAACACTTTTAAATTTGATATTACATATGATAATGAAGAAAAAGGGGTAAACTTAAAATCATGGAGATAGAAATTATTCAAATTCATTTATGTAGAATATGTTTAACAACTCAAATAACACTCAACTAGAATGAGTAAAAAATGAGGAGTCATCACACTAGCCCCAAGTAGTTGAACAAAGGCTAATGATGATGATGATACTAGGGCTTCTACACTGCCAAAATGTTATATCCACCATCACTATTATCCTAGATAAAAAAGTATAAAAAAGTTACAGAAGTAATCAAAGGGAACATAAATTGTCAGCATAGGAAAGTACAGCACTAGTATGTAATTGTGAGATCATCTATGAAATAGGTAGATAAATTAGTGTTGAATTATTAGGAATAAATGCGGTAGACCTAAGATATTAAAGAAAAAAGTTAAAATTGATTTGAATAATATAGATTTAACTCTTCATGCAATACATTGGCAATAACAAAAGGAGTACTCATAAAATTTACCCCATACAGTTAGACATATGGTCATTGTTGTTGATGATGATGCTGGCCCAATTGTTGGAGCAAAGTTTTTCATTTTGATGTATCAAAATAAAGGTTTTTATGAGCCTTGAAAGGTTAAGGAAAAAAATTGGCTGCTTATTAATATGTTATTAAGTGTGTGAATTAACAAGAAAGAAACAACACTAGAAGAGTTGATTTATGACAAGTTTCATGGATTGGAATGCTACTATAGGTTTTGAAAAACCATACACTATCACAAGACCATATGTGTGTCACGACCCGATCCGGTGCTTATAATTAATTAAGGCAGGAACTACGGTCAGACGATATTAACATTTAACTATCCACATTTTTAAAACATCCAATACATATAAAAGAGCTACTAATCCATAAGTGCAATAAAATTTAAATCATTCATCAACAACATTCCAATCCAGAACAGAACAATAAATCAATATTTGACAAAAATAGTAAAAAAAAGCTATCATCATAAAAATACATAGCAACAGTGTTCCTTCTATCATTCTTCTTCAAAGCCGAAAATATCTTTATTAGGATCATGATTCAATAAAACTTCTCATCAATACTTATTTAATTAAACTCAAACTCACAAACACGTGACACGCAATATACACATAACTTTATTTATATAATAATATATTAATTAACGTATAAAAAAATATTAAACATACCTTTATGTATCATCCTCTGTAATAGTGTCCCCCACCAAGCCGCATGAGCTCTTTCTTCTTCCTCCTTCTGTCACAGTTCGTCCCAATAGAGCTTGCCACCACCGCTTGTTTCTACCTTCTCTTCCTCTGCCGCTCGACAACAATGTCGAAGTCGCTCAACTAGGGCTCGACTTCAACTCAACACACGAGCTCAATGCTGTTATCTCGCCTCCTTTCTTCCTCCACGTGAGCACAACACAAGGGTCTGCTTACCTCTTTCAATCTCTGCACACGAGCACAGTGCCAAGTCATTCGCCTTCCTTCCACGCGCACTATTATGGATCGACGTTGTCTTATGCATGAAATCGTTGAATTCCCCTCTTCTTCTTTTTTCTCCTCTTATTCGCTGCACCGAAGCTGTTACCCTTCTCCTATGGTTTCTTCTTCTTTCTCCTTAGACTTCTTCCTTACTCGGCTAGGACACAACCTCCTTTCTCGATTTTTCTCGTTTTCTCTCGCTTGTTCTTTACATTTGTTCGAATGAGGAATAATATGACTCTCAAGTCTTAACCGAAGGGGTGCTTATTCTTCGTGCCTACTCAATTAATTGCTATTATTATATTTATTTTTATTATTTTTGTTATTAAATCTCCATCCTTATAAAAATTTCTTCCTCGAAATTCGAAAATAAACATGAAAGTGAACGCACCTCAATTGAAAAGTTATGGATATTTTTCTTGCATCTTAGAGACCTTTTTCCAAATAACATCTTTCTCCGACCCATGCCTCTATACAATCTTCACAGAAGGGATCTTTTTGTTTCGCGACTTTTTCACATTCATAATACATAATCCTTTTCGGCTCCTTAATTTAAGTCAAATCAGGTTAAATGTTAACTGAGTCCGCTATCACCCTACTGACTTCATTTGTAATATGTTTTTTCAGTGAAGAAATGCGAAAATCGTTATGTACTCTTCGCATATGAGTTGGTAAAGCCAATTTGTAAGTCACCTTCCCAATCATCTCCACAATCTCAAATGGATCGGCAAATCTGGGGCTCAACTTTCTTGTCTTCCCAAAATATTGCACACACTTTAATGGACAGAATTTGACAAACACAAACTCTCCAACTTCAAATTCTACAGGTTTGTGCTTGACATCATAATGTTTTCTCTGCCCATTTTGTATTGTCTTTAGTCTATCCCTGATCAGTCTAATCTTCTCAGTAGCATCATTAACCAAATCAGCTCTAATGATCTTTTTTTCACCCTTGTTGGTCCAACATAAAGGTGTCCTGCACTTCCTTCCATATAAGGCTTCATATGGAGCCATCCCATTACTAGCCTGGTAACTATTATTATAGGCAAACTCTACTAAAGGTATATGTGATTCTCAACCTCCACTAAAGTCAATGACACACAACCTTAGTAGGTCTTCCAAGGTTTGAATTGTCCTCTCAGACTGACTGTCTATCTGAGGGAGAAATGTTGTACTGAAAGTCAGTCGAGTGCCCAAATTTTCCTGAACCTTTTTCTACAATCTGGAAACTTGTTATCTCTATCAAAAACTATAGACTTCGACACTCCATGCAATCTCATAATATGATCCACATATAATTTGGCTAGCCTCTCAACTGGGATTGTATGTTTAATAGGCAGAAAATGAGGAGATTTAGTCAGTCAATTGACAATTTCTCATATGGCATCACGACTTTAACGAGATCTAGGCAAACCAATCACAAAATCCATTACAATGTCCTCCCATTTCGACTCTGGAATCGTAAATGTTGCAATTGACTTCCATGATTCTTGTGCTCTGTCTTCACTAGCTGATATGAATGACATTTGACCACAAATTTTTTCACACGTCTCTTCAATCATAGCTACCGAAATGCTTCTTTGAGATCCTGATACATTTTATTTCTTCCTGTGTGAATAATATATTTAGATAAATATGCTTCCTCCAGAATTTCCTTCCTCGGGTCATTAGCATCTAGAACATAAACCTTGCCTTTAGACATCAATAAACCATTCTGATCGAGCTCATATTTTTCTAAACTGCTTGTCTGAACTTGTTTTAGAACTTTCTGAATACTGTTATCTCTGACTAGAGAATCTCCAATTCTGTCCTTTAAAGTTGGTTGCACCGTCAACTGATATACTTGAGCCTTGCTTTCATCACCAGAATCAACTATAGATAGCTTCAAGCTCTCTAGATCTTTAATTAACTGATTCTGTTGAGAAAATAAATAGCTCAAATTATCTGAAACTTTTCTACTCAACGCATTTGCCACTACATTTGTCTTTCCTAGATGATACTGAATATCTAAATCACAATCTTTAATAAATTGTAGTGATCTCCTCTGCTTCTGGTTCAACTCTTTCTGAGTGAAGATATATTTTAAACTCTGGTGGCTAGTAAAAGCTTCGCGTCAAACTCCATACAACTAATGCATCCATATCTTGAGTGCAAATGCAACTGCAGCAAGCTCCAAGTTATGCTAGGATAGTTCTTTTCTTGAATTTTCAATTGTCATGATGCATATGCAATGACTTTACTATGCTGCATAAGTACACATCCCAAACCCCTCAAAGATGGAAAATCTGAAACCTATCAGAACCTGAAGGAATGACCAAAACTGGAGCAGACATTAAACAAGTCTTCATCTTTTGAAAAGCCTCTTCACAATGATCTGACCATTCAAACTTCACCGCTTTCTGAATTAACCTTGATATTAGCATAGCAATATGTGAAAATGCCTCAACAAATCTCTGGTAATAGCCAACCAGACTCCTGACCTCAGTAATGATAGTAGGCTTTGACCAATCTACAATCGCCTTCACCTTATTCTGATCCACAGATATGACATCTCCATTGATAATGCGCACAAGAAAAGCCACACTTTAAGCCAAAATTCAGATTTAGAGAATATGGCATAAAGTGTATTCTCCTATAAAACTTGTAACACAACATGTAAATGATTTGCATCACTGGCTTCTTCCTTTCAATACACCCGAATATCACCTATAAAGAAGATCACAAAAGTGGCCAAAAACTGCCTGAAGATCTTATTCATCAGGTCCATAAAAACTTCTGGAGCATTAGTTAGTCCAAATGACATCACCATGAATTCATAATGCCCATATCTAGTCCTATAAAAGGTCTTCGCTATGCCTTCTTCTGTAATCATCAACTGGTGATAGTTTGTCCTCAGATCAATCTTTGAAAATATTGAAGCCCCTTCCAACTGATCAAACAAATCGTCAATCCTCGACAGTGGATATTTATTTTTAACGGAGTTTATTACTCCCTGTAATCAATACATATCCTAAAACTCTCTTCCTTCTTCTTCACAAATAATACTGGAGCTCCCCAAGATGAGGTGCTAGACCATGAACATCTATAATTTCTTTTTTTTTTCTTATGGTTTATGTATTTGAGTTGAAAATAGAAAGATCCATAAATCTATTTGAAGGATTTGGTAGATTATTCACTTGGCAAGTTTTATTCCTACCCGCAATTTAAGATTTTCCACCTATTCAAGCAAATCCATGTTGCTCATCTCTGGTTCCGTCAATAGGGTGTCTTTCAACCTATTTTCCGTTATATTGGATAAATATTAAAACCTCTTTGGGGATTCTTTCTTGCATACAAGTGATTATTGTTCTGCAATTTAACTACCAGAATTTTTTTTTTCAGCTGTCTGGATACTTCTGGAAACTGGGGTCGTGGAGGCATGTTCACTGCACTGGCGAATCTCTCAGCAAGTATTCCAGATGCTTATCACCGGGCTTTCAAATTTGGAGATCTTCATATGGGTGATCTGCATTTAATGAAGTTGAATGGTTATTCTTTACTCATGTTAATGCTCTGTGATTTAAGAACCTCATTTCTTCCTATCATCTATAATTACAATGGAAATACTTTGAAATCAATACAACTTTGAGTGCTTTTTTTCTTGTGCTTTTCCTTTTAGGCTTCTGAAGTGATGCATGCTTAAATATAATTGAGTACATGTGCATTGTCTTCTGAATCAGTAAAGAATAAATGCATGCGTTTGAGAACTTTTTTTTTCTCCAAGCATAGTAGTATAGTATGCTTATATGCATGCGTATTAGTTTGTGCATATATTGTCTAGTTTTTTGTGTGTTTTTATATTGAAGCAATGGTGTAACTAGTTTAAGCCTATCCTAGGCGATTACCCACCATGAAATTTGAAATTTCTCAACAAATGATAGAAAATTTAATATTTTTTCTATATTATTCAGGCAATTTAGTAATTCTGCCATCTCAACATTTTTTTTACCCAATACTTAAAAAATTTCAACATTTTGTATATTTGCCTGGCCTTAAGATTGAAATTGGTTCCACCCCTATATTGAAGGCGGTTTAGAGAATTGGACTTCTTTACTGGACAAAAAACATGGGGAATTTTGTGAATGATATATGCTCAGATCTTCGCGGGCTATCTGACGCAGGATGTTTTAGGATCTAGAGTTTCTTTTGTGAATCTTACACGAGATGCATAAAATCATGCAACAAACATACAAAATGTACTAAAAACAAGTTATCACACCAAAACTATTAAATATTGATGAAAGATTTATGGCACTACGAATTAATGGCTAGATTATGAATCAATAAAGCCATGCATGTGATTGGAATTCAATCAATCAACAAAAATCAAGATTGTAACATATATAACTAAACACAGTATTATTGTCAGAAAAATTCTGAAAAATATCGAAAAGGAGATAGATGAGATGTTAAATAAGGGGAAGGGAAATCATTCATTAGAAAAATAAGTCTATATTTGTAAAAGGAGATCTGTCTCTCTTGTAATTCTTCAAACCTAATTGCATCATAGAAATTGTATCTCATAAGGATTAGGACATCCATGTAATGATTTTAACATTTGTTAATCACTTTTATATCTATCTTAGATCCATTTTATGATTACAAAAATAATTAAAAAAACCTGTCATTTTAGGATTGCAAATCCAAATCTTTTAAATTGACTCATTTTACAATCAACAAGACATGAATTTACTGTATTTTTAGCAGATTATACCAAAGGAATGAGTTATGATGGCTTACTAGCATGCATTTTGCTTTTATATTTATTGATTGCCAGTGGAGACAATCCATCGGAAGACATCAGTTATGTGGTTACTCATCTAAATTTGGTGGCTTCCCTCCCACTAATACCCTCCCAAGTTTTTCAGATGCTTCTTTGTTACTTCCTTTTTTTTTTTCGTTGTAGAAATTGAGACCGTGACGCTCATCTATCTTTATTCATTGAACTAAATTTTACATGAAATGAAATCTCTTCCCCCAGCCCCTTATGCATAAGGCCATTGATATCATCATCACATTCCCCAAAGTTGCTTTCATTTGTCGTTCTTATTTTTTTTTAATCCACATCCTTCATAACTAATTTTTAAATAAATATATGACACTCAATAAGCCACGATAGAGAAAAAGGATTCATGTACCCGACCCCACTTAGTGGGATAAAGGCTTGTTGTTGTTGTATCTTTTATAACTAGTTTTAATGCTCTTACTTTTTAAGGTTTTTGAGTTCTTAAGTTTGTTACTAAGGTTTTTTGTGAATATGCATTTTGTATTTAATTAGAAGTCTCTAGAATACTTTTGCAACTCCTTTGGTACAGAATCATATTGGAACTTGTGATAATGAATGAAAGGCTATTAGTAGGCTATTGCCATCATCATTAACAGTAGCATTATTAGCCGTATCCCAATTGTTTGTGTAACACAAATAATTAGGATACTTTTCATGGTTTTATACTCAATTGCATTGTCAATGGTCAACCAAACCCTATTGTTTCTCATACTTTCTTCGAACTATTGCAACCACACAAACAGTTTTACTAGTGATCGAGTTTATAGCCCATGATTATTGTATGTGGTCAATTTGATTCTAGAATATTACATTTCTCTTGTTTACTACACCAAATATACAAAATTAATTTAAAATGCTTCCTCAGAGCTATTAGAATCAATTTTGTGCAATTGATGGATTAGATTGGAATCAGTTTTGTATAACAATTTCCATATGAGAGATTATTTTGAATGATTTTTGTATAATTGAAGGATTAAATTGGAGAAATTTGATATTTTGGAACTAAATTAACCGCACATGAATATTTGGGGGAATATTTTAAGATTTAATTTTATTTGGCTTTGTAATTCACAATTCTCATTATTAATAATTGGGCCTAAGAAGTTTAGATTATATTGAATAAAGTTTGGCATATACTATGCTCTTAATGATGTCTCGTAGTTGCATTTGATCTAAATACTTTATGGATATTTGATTTAGTTAAAAGTCTAATTAACGCCAATGGCACCTGGAAGGAATGAATGGAAAAGAAAATGCATTAGGGTTAGTATAAACTAAATAAAATGAAATGCACCTCAGGTTAGCTACATCAGGATGTACATTCCGTTTTAATGAATCTTGGGTTACCTACATCAGGATGTATACTCCATTTTAGTGAATCCTGGGCCTTTTTTTTGACTTTCATGCTTTGTTTTCTTGTGTTAATTTTATATTTCTTGTTGTTCATTATTGATTGTTAAGATTTTTCTCTCTTTTGCGGGTCAGATGGAGAAAACAACATCATGACCGAGGCTCCTCTCTGGGTGGCCTTAGCTGTGGTACAATCATATAATTCCAGACGGAAGGTTCCACGGAGCAATATCTCTTTAGATGATCTGGAAAAAAGCCTCTCAAAAGCCTCTGCATCTGCTTCTCAAAATTCTGGTATTTGCTTTATTGGACATGGATAATAAATTATTTTACTTTTTCTTTCTCTTATATAAGTGATATTGAACTTTTTAAATTTCTTGTATTTCCGCTCGAACCACGTTTTTTCTTTTTTGTTTCATGACTCTAATCTTATATATATGTATAATATGCTTTTATTTCCGCCAGAACTGCATATTAAAGAAAATTTAAAATTTTATGTAATTAGCTAAATGCAAATAAACCTTTTTTTTATAATTAATTCAAATAAGCTTCGTTGCTTATATATATATATATATATTATATTTGAAAACAAATAGTTTTTCTTAAGATTTTCTACAATATATTATTGCAATTCAAATCAATTTAGTGGGATTATAAGTTTACTAGTACCTATTCTTATTAAATGTTTTGGCTATAATTCATTTGCCAAAATTTCGTATTTATCAAATAATATTTAGGATTATACATAATCCAATATCCTTCTACTTTCTTTATAATTATTCTAAACTTCTCTTGTTAAATTACACTTAGGGTTCCCTTTAATTATCAAGAATTTTTTCAATTAACTTTTTAAATTAAATTGTTAACTTATAGTTAACCTGTAAGCTAAAATTAAAATTATGGTCTATAAATTTCATAGAAAATTTTCTAGAAATATGTCTTCACATTCTAGAAAATAATTGAGGAAGAAATTTCTAGCATTCAATATCAAAAATCATACTTGAATTAGGTTCAACTCATTCGTCATAGATCACGAGCAACTACTATCCCACACTTGAAAGCTTCGCTCAAGCCGCTCGGCCTACGCAAGCATCTTGCTAATGCACCATTGGCTCGCATACCTTTGCTCTCTCGATCTCTTGCTCGATCACTCACTGTTCACTCCTTTCTTTGTTTGCACTCTCTCTATTTCTCATTTGCTCTCTCTCTCTCTTTCTTGCTCTCTCTTTTTCGCTTGATTAAGGGCAATAAGTCATAGATTTATTTGTCTTTTTAAGCGGCAATCAGTACTGCTTTAGGGGTTTTTTTAAATTACCTTATTAAAATTTTAATTATTAGTATTATTATTAAGTTAAATTAAATTATTTTTAATGTTAATTAATACCTTATCATTAATAATTTTTATTTAAATTTATTTTATTAATTTAACATAGTTATTTTGATTATTTTTATTTATTTATTTTTAAATTATTTTATTACTATGATCACCTCCAAATTTAGTCTATATGAAGAGAACGATTACCACCTCTTTAAAGGGAAGACAAGTGCCTAGCTGTACAACGACATGCTTTGGCTGCCTATAGACTTGGTCTATTTAACAATGACACTCAACTTTTTTTTTTTTTCAAGGGAAGACATGTGCTTCGTCCGTCATAAGAACTATGAAACTTGATTCTTTCATAACTTGGTTTGTTCAAAAATGACGCTCGTAACATTTTTCAAGGCATGATAGGTGTCTTGCCATAGGAACTACGGGTCTTAATTGCATCTGAACTCATTCTGTCCAACTTGGACAATTAACACCTTATTTTTAGGAAAAATATATTTCTATTCGTAGGAACTAGGGGTCTTGACCGCCACACAATAGAAGATCCTTCTAATATGTCTAATGAATTGGTCCAGATTCAAATAATACTTATGAAGAATGTCACTCAAAATGTATAAATAAATGTTGACCTCTTCATGAAAGGGAATTTGGACTTTTAGGAGTAGAGTAAATGGAGCTTCGAAACCTGGAGGATTAATAAGCTCTAGCTACCCACCATTACTTAGCTGTCGTGGGCATCGTCGGACTACCATCAACCAACAGCCACCGCTATCACCACCAGACTATCCTTGCTCTACTGTTTGTTGCTAGACTAAAATATCTCAATGGCCATCATTGTTGCTAGACCACTAGCATTTGCCGGCCTCCACTGTTGCCTAGTCGTCTTCACCGTCGCCTTGCCGTTGCCACAATCTCCAGACTATCATAGCTTTTTGTTGAGATTATCATCTTCAGACTATTGGCACTTGATTGCCGCCACTATTGCAATTGCCAAACCACCTAGCCTGGTTGCCATTGTCATTGTTAGATTATTGGCACTCGATTGACATCAACGTTAAACCAGCTAGCTCGGTTGCCACTGCCAGCTCTAGATTGTTTACACTTGACCGCCACTATTATCAGACCATTGTTGCAAGGTCGTTGGCGCTTGTTGTTTTCGCCGTTGGACAACCATCAAAATGCAATCGCTATCAAAGCCAGATCGTCGTCGGCGCACTTGCATTTCTTTAGAGTCATTTTCATCATTTAAACAACCAAATTAGCATTTACAAGCATTTTGCAGGAAAGTCTTTATCGCTCTGCTGTAGTTTTTATTTTATTATTAATTTTTTTTTTGGGGTATTTTTGTAGCATCTATTCATATGCCACGGATTGGTTATCAAGATGGATCTCAGCGATCAGAATGGTACACAATAGAGCGTCTTCTTCGTAAATATTCTTCAATATACGGCATTAATATCTTCATGTAAGCTTTGCTGTCAATATCATATTTCTGCATTTAAAACGATTTGTGCTGCGGAACACAGCTTTACTTCTTTCTCTGTGACTTGGATGCGCAGCTATTATTATCGGCGTAGTCAATGATTAGAGAAACTAGATGACACCAGGCCCTGCGTGCATGGAGCGCTAGTTATAGTTTTCTTATTGAGGTATTTACAAACATACCACTCAATTCCTCTGTATTTACATATCTAACACCAAACATCACTCTCTCTTTTTTATTTGTGCCTGCTAAGCCTGCTAATTCTTTGTAACTTTTAAAAAATGAATTACATCTTTTCATTCAAAGATATGGTGGCACATGTAAAAATTAAAGTTTAGGTGTTACATATATAAATACATAGAAATTAAGTGGAATGTATGTAAGTCTTTCTTTTCCTACAGAATTGGAGAGAGTTTCAGAGTTGGCTTATGAGTAAGAAATAGTAGTTGTTGTGGAAGAAACGCTGGTGTAATTTTCTTTTGTGAGGATTTGTGTTGGTGCTGCTTAAGGATATTAATCTAGTTGTGGTGTTTGTGAAGTTCCTATTTGAGTTGATAATTAGAGTTTGCATGGTTTTATATGCTCATTTATTTGGTTGACATTAATGTGTCTTTTACCCCAATCATAATCTGTTTAAATTTATTTGATATAAAATGATATTAGTCAGCTAGCATCTAATGTTGTGGATTGAAGAGTGTCATCAAAAAGATTGTTGGCGTCGACTGATAACAATCATTGCTAGATGTTTGTCGTAGTTCTCTTTTCAATAGAGGGATAATATGGTTTGGTAGCAAAGGAGAAGTCCAAACAAGTGAAATGCCAATGTTTATTAATTTCAAATTCCAAATCATGGTCAAAGCAATTAACGGGTTCATTTGAGTTAAAAATTGTAAAAAAGTAGAATTTTACATTTTTAAATTTACTCCTTTCTCCTGGCTTCTTTGTACCCTTGGGTCTCTTCATACCCTCAGGCTGGCTCCTTTTGATTTGCTTCTTTGTTCAGGGCTTCTAATACGCCCTGTAGCAGTGTCAAAATACTTGACACACCATAATTCTAAGTGCAGGGGTGTCACACAACCTATTATTAATATTTGATTTATATTTGATTTTGAGTCTGAAATATCGATTCCACAAGGAGTGAGACAATTAGACTTAAAAGAAGTTCTAGCATGTTAAAATCAGCCTTAGCTTGAAAGTAAAGTTGGTTTTAAGTTGTGCTAACTAGTCATACTGAATTATAAATTACTCTTGAAAGTTTACTCTTACGGAAATTTTATTAAATATATTTGAAGTGGTGATAATCAAGTTATAAAGCTATCATTCATTGCAATGGTATTAGTGATGTGTAGGAAATGAATACTTTAAAGTGTAATTGCAGCTAGTGACAAATAGGAGCAGCTCTCTTCTTTATCCTATCTCGAGTGCATAGAGAAGTTTGATTAACTGGTTTTAATTCCTTAAACCCAATTTGAATCGATCAAAAATTATTTCCCTATCTATATGCATCTCTCTATAGTTTAGCATGAATACTCTAATCGTTCTTCCATAGCTCTCCCGAGTAATATGGTTCACAAGTCATTTTAAGTAATCATTTTATTAGAATGAAAAGTAAATGAATTTTTGAAGAATACTCTCACACTAAAGATTAAAACCTAATTTAAAAGTATGCTACCATTCCTACACATATTGCGTATTCACCATAAGAGAAAAGGTAAAGACTACTAACAAATCATGAAGAGAACACCACAACACATCTTTGAAATAAAGCAAATCCAATAGAATTGTGTTTACAAACAAATTATAATACAAAATAGAACACAATACTTAGCTATTTTCTCTTTACAAAGTACTGAAATTTTCTCTTTAAAGGATCTCCCAATTCTCATTGCAGTGTTGAATGTCTTCCCTCTAATACAACTCACTAATCTCACAAAAATCTCCAAGTAAAAGCAAATCTAACTTAAAATATAACCCTAGACTTCACATGGACTTTCTTCCTTCGCTTCAGAAGTGCTCTTCTTTCCAAACATATCCCTAGAAGCCCTTTATATCGTCTGTATAACTCCCCAAATCGTGTAGGATTAACTACTGAAAAATTGCTCAGGTAGTTTTAGGTGTCCAGGCTCCAACATCTCTATCTGTTCATTCGGGCATGTGCATCTAGGCGCCCAAGAAAGTGGCGCCAAGTTTCTTGGTAGGAGCGACCAGGCGCCCAATATAAAAATTAAAGTTTAGTTTCCTTTTTGGTAGGAGAGCTTGGTAGGAATCCCCTAGGTTTCTTTTTGCTCTATTTCTTCTCCACTTTATTTCACTTTTACAATCTATTGTACCTGCAAGAAAAATATAAAACACCCTGTTATAAAGTGCAATTTCATCCATAAAAATTGTGCAAAATATAAAAGAAATAAGAATGCTTTTCTACACATCAGCTTCTCAGCCTTTGGGTGACTACCTCTCTCCAGTCATTTCTTTCTGCCGAGTTCCTTCTCCTGGTGGATTCGAGATACAGAGACCCAAAGACTTTTGCCAGCATTTCCTCAGTAATGATGTTCAGGGATTTCTTGTTGTTCTTCATAGAGATGTTACTAGAATTAGTTGATTGGGTGACACACTCTCTAACAATGAAGATAACAAAAGCACTAACTATGCCCTATTTATATTGGGCCACGGACACATAAAATTAGAGAGTTTAATTATTAAAGTACTGAATTTGAAAATAAATTAATCTATTTTTTATTTAAATTCTCTTATTCTTATCGCAACATGACTTTCAAGAAGCAAAAGAATTGGAGAATTATATATATATATATATGTCATAAATGCATTAGCACGATTCTCGAGAAAATTTAATAGATTAAAAGAAGAAGTACGGTTAATGATGGCCTGCAGGAGATTAGAAATCACATCAATAAAAGACCAAAGGGTTTAATTGATCAGCTACAACTCTATTGGAGCAAGACTTGGAGTCAACTTGGTGAAGGCCGCCCAAGTAAAAGATCGAAACCCCATTAAATCGAGAGAAGGAATCAGCCCAGCTCTCATCCAAATAAGGCTCTCATCTAGAGGTGTGCATTATTTGGTCAAAACCAAAAAACGGATCCGATTGGTTAGTTCAGTTCTATTTCAAAATTAAATTTTGGTTTTTGGTTTTTAAAACTTCAATATTTGGTTTTCGATTTTCAATTCGGCTTTTATTTTTTTTAACCTAACAAACCAAAATTTTATTAAAATTTTTTATTATTAAAAAAATCACTTGCTCTCCTTCCGCTAGATTCACGAGCAGTTGACTCGTCTTTCATAGCTCTATTTGAGAGGACCATAGCAAACTGCTCCGACCGCACCCCATCTCCTTGTCTGAATCCGAGTTCGAAGAAGTAGAACCGTCTACTGGTTACGATCGCTCACCACCTCCCGGGGGACATGCTCTTCGTTGACAAGGGAAAGAAAAAGAGCCGATGGAAGATTTAAACATCCCTCCTCCCCCCTTCATTGAAAAGGAAAAGGGAGTCCTTCAAATGACTTCCAACGAAAGGGGGAGATGAAAGGTTGAGGGTCGACACTGATCGACAATTCAATTTAGTTGATAATTCAAGGGATTAGTTTCCTAATTCTGTAGAGATCGAGGGAATCCCACCAGTCTTGGTAGAATTGGTGTGGTTGTACAACTTTGATCAAGTCCTGAAAAGGTTGAGTCGCTTGGAGATTCTGCAACAGTCGGCCCATTTTCAGTTAATGGCAACACAAACTGCTCACCTTCATACTTTGGCTTTGGATTCTGAGGAGAACTTATCAGTCAAAGCCCAAAATAAACTTGCTTCACTGGAAGCCTAGCTTAAGAGGGCTCAAGATGATCGAGATCTCCTTGAGGTCAAGCTTAATAACTTTGCCATTGAGAGGAAGGAGTTGCTCCAAATGCTAGATGTTTTACTGAAAGAAAACGAAGAATTGAGAGCAAAGTTGCCTCGTCCATTTCCAACAAAGAGCATATGATTGAACTTGTGAAGCAATTTTAACACGGTATGAATTACGCCAACGAGAGATTTATACAGCATGGCCTGGTCGATGCCAAGTTCTCCAATCCTGACGAGTTTGCTACTATTATTCCTGACAAGGTGAGAGATACTTCAAAAGACGAAGAAACTGATGAAAGCTCTAGCGACGAAGGTCGATCGACGACTCGGTGAATCCTTCTAAACTTTCGAGCTTTTTTGTAATTTTATTTTCAAGTAATTTATCGTAAGAAGATGTAAACATTTTTTGTAATTCTTGTATATATATAAATATTACATTCGATTCTATCTCTCTGCATTTGTTTTGAATTGTCTGTCATAGACATATAGCTATCTATCGTTTGCTCACCTTGGAAGCGAGTTTGTCGTTATTTGTCGACCGACAGAAATTGTTTGTTCTCCATCCAAATTGTTCGATCAGATAATTGCCTCTCGGAGAGACTTGGATCCGTGGAGATCTTTTATACACTAGGATCTTGTCGTTTGTGGATATTGAATGACCTCCAAAGACAAATACCAAAACTCAAATGGAGTAATTTTACATAGATCGACTAATAGTTTTAATATCTATCAATTGAATTTACATCGATCGATTATTAATTTTTAAAATTGATCGATTATTTTGTATTTTGATCGGTTGTTCTTCACAAACCTCAATTAATGCTAGCACTGTCTCGTTCAATCGATCAAATCTCTGTTCAGGTTGAGTTTCTCCGTGCACTGGGCACATATCTTGTCATTAACTGTGACGGTAACCACTAGGACTTCTTTCTGAGATGATTTACACTATACTCTTTCGCGGATCTTGTCACTAGCGAGCAGAGAACCATTTCAAAAAACATTATTTTACCGAGTTTAGAGACATGGGTTTGCAACTCAAAGACCGTGTGAATAACTAATCGATCTACTAGCATTACAACCGATTGTTTTCTATGCATACCTTATCAATTGATCAATCCAAGTTCCCTAAGCGTTGAAATCGACGGTTATGCATTATTTGATCAGGTCGGGTTCCCCAAGTGTTGAAGAGACTTGAGTATCATTAGAATAAAGTCAGTCAACTCCAAATTTCATTGTATTGATAAAATGAAAATTTTCAAGTTGTTGGTAACGATACTTTTAACATATACATAGAATTTTGAGAAATTTTTTAAGGGAAAAATTTCTTCATATCATGTCCACTCCAAGTTTGAGGTAGTTTCATCCCAGCTTAGGCTTAAGTTTGGAAGCCCCCTAAGAAATTCACTGGCTGATTATATACGGGTCACTCCAAGTTTGATCTAGTTTGCCGACCGCCTGTCCACGAGCAACTGGATTTGCTTTCTTCAGGACTAAATCTCCCGGGATGAAGATCTTCTCTCGGATGTGTTTATTGAAGTATCGAGTGGTTTGTTTGTCCACTTCTTCCTGTCGAAGAGCTGAGTTGGTTCACCTTTCTTCTGCAAGATCGAGAGCTAGCATTGCTCCCACATTGTTAGCTTCCTGTCACTTGAACATATTATTCTCTGTTAATGAAGAAGTTGTGACGGCCCTCTAATTGTGATGGTCGTTCGGG